CTCCAACTGAAATCTTGGCTTCCTTGGATCTGGATCTTTGCAAGTTGAAGCAGCACAAGACTTCTTAAAATCTGGATTTTTGCATTGAAGCTTTTATCTCTCTTTCTCAACACTGGTCACAATAATGCTTAATGTTTCAGGGCTTTCTCTCACTATAATACTTAGAATGACCAGCACCTTCTTCAGTAGTGAGTGAAGAGGGTATTTATAGGCGTGTGAAAATAGTTCCGTTAGAAGGAAAACTATTTTCAAAATGCCTAAGGACCAGCGGGTAGAGACCGCCAAGTAATCTGGAGAGTAGGTGAGTTGTTAGATTTTCCAGTTGTTGATTCCTTAAAGCGCGCTGAACATTTCACTTTTTTTTTTGCACACATTATTAGGGCATTTAATGCAAAATCGACTTGGGATATGTTCCTAGGACTCACTTTGACTTAGGACATATTTACATCACCTTTTTAAGGTTTCGGACTATTACGCTCAAAGAATGTTTCTGGCAATCCTATTGAGTAGTTAACTGAGTTAACACCTCAAACCTTAGGTTCTCTCGGATACGATGGTTGACTTTACCAATCGTCCCTTAACTCCTCGAATGATTTGTCTTATAACTCGGTCTTGATAATACACAAGAGATAGACCATTCCATTATTCGGTCTTTGTAGCCTCTAGGTCTCCGTCTTCATCTTTGAATCTTCTTTCCTTAGTATGAGACTTGACTCCTTGAGTGTACATTCGGATGTGTACATTTTATCCACTCGGTTAACCATTCGGTTAGGATTTGAATGTTGAGTAGAGTTATCCTAAGTCTAGGAAATAAAAAGATTGCGGGGTTTAAACTCCTAAGTTTGGTATCATCAAAATCTAATACAAAGTGTTCCTAACAATTTCATCCTTTTTGATAAGGCTGAAATTATCCATGAAAAGGATTTTTCATTACATACAGCCGAATAGTTAAGTTTAACAATTTGTTCTAGGAGTAAAATTACTAACTTAAAACTCAACACAACCCCAAAACATTTTTTATTAATCATCAAAATATTATAATCAGAACAAGTTAAAATACATCTAGTCTATTACAAGATTACCTTTCCTCGGTTGCTTGCGGCTTGTTCTTCTTGATCTTCTCTCCTTGACTCCTTCCAATTCAAGAGTCAGAATACAGATTCGGTCATTGCCTTAGCTGACTTGGCCTCTGTCTTGAAGAGCTTATTGGTTAAGGTGATAATTGATTTTGACTCTGGATCTATAAAAGTTGTCTGGGACGACGAGGTGTTTATATTTATGGTTGATCCTGAAGTACATGTAATTGTGGAAGGCTTTGGTAACATATTCTCCTCCAATTACTCGTCTCCACCACCTTAAGAACTCGCATGTGTTCATTCCGTCCACGAATGAAACACCGTTAGTTATCTTTTTGTAGATCAAACGCTGCATTGCAGATAACTCCATCTGGTTCTAAGATTCGAAGCTTCTTCAATGAATTCAACCTGGCCTTGACTATCCTTCATTGTTCATCAGCCTCCTCTCGTAGCCTTATTTAGAACTTCCAAACCTTATTGAAAAAATATTCCAATGACCATGTACATTATCAAGCAAGGGAATACACAATAACTTAGGTAGTATATTCACACAAAAACTAAGTATTTGATGTTCCTTTCAAAATAAACATGACACTATAAATATTTAGTATAATTTTGTTATGTATTACTACTGGAGTACAATATGGTTATCATAGAAGACAATAATGAGACTCACATTATTTAATACGGAGTATGATTTATCTATGTACTTCTACTGGAGTACAAGGTTTCTCATGTACTTCTACTTGAGTACAAGGTGACTAGCCTAGAAGGCTGATGGAGTCTTGTATTAATCTTGCCTTTCTATAGTCCTTCTAATATAGTTTCACTTGTAAACCAATATTGTATTATACTGGTCATATCCAGAGACAAATTCAACATCTTGAAATCTCAAATTTAGTTAATGGGAGATTATAAAAATTTATTGATCATAGCAATCCTTCAGGGATTGACTTAGGGTACAGTCTATGGATACTTTTGGATCAAATATTCATAATCGAGGTCTTGGGCCAAGGGGTGACAATTAAAAATTAGTGCTCTTAGTTTACCTTCTGGGCAGAACTTAAAAATTAGGCACTATCATTTTGTTTAAATACTCATTTGAAATTTATTTCAATGCCAAGACTCATGTAAAATAATTTCTATAACAAATTAGCACCATCAATAAACTTGAATTTGGACAAACAATCATTGATTTTTGAATCATGATCAAGTCAATTTGACACAAGAGTCATATAAATTGTGCTAGTGCTATTATCATATATTTAGTGTTATGACTTGTCGCCTTATATTCTAGGCAATGGTATGTTTAAAATTCAGACTATATTATAGTCGTTTTGCATATCCAATGATACTATAAAGATTTATCTACAATTTGTACTTTGTTTGGACTTTTGGGCAAAATTATACATAAAAGTTCGGCCTATAGCTTCAATTATAAAATGTGAACATTATTTTTATTATATTCGCTTTTTAGGCAGAGCTATATGCAATTAAGAGGATACATTGCATATACTTGGGATATATCAAGTTTTTGACATATTAGCACCATCAAGAGGATACATTGCATATACTTCATGGCGGCACAAAATTTGAACATTTAAAACTTTAATATCATCTCAAAAAGATTAGAGTACTTAACTTTAATCTGGGCAAATGTCATTGGATATGCATGCATGCCACATGAAGATTTTCCATGAACCAAAAGATGCTCCATACGCCATCAATCTGATTTGGCTCAAGCACATTTGTCGGAATGGCCAAACTCCGTAATCTGCACTAGCACTTAAAAAACTTGGCACAAATAATTATCTAAAAACATAATAAGTCTCAATCAAAGTTATATATTTAATTTATGTCCATATTTTTAGTACTAAGTTTTGAACAAAAATACCCTTACAGTTATAACTTATGTTATTTTTACCATGCACATACATCCATCATATATTTTCTTATATTCTTTAATGATAATAATATTTGTAGATATTATATATCGGATTAATATAATAAATAAATTTGATTTTTTATATATTTTAATTAGTAAGGACTTGTTAATTAATTTAAAAAATATAAATATTGGGAATATGTTTTTGTGCATCGCGCATAGAAAAGACTAGTATATGTATATCTGTAGTAGAGTTGCGGGCGAATTATAATCAGTCAAAACAAAAATTTTCCCAAAATCAAGCAGGCAATCCTCGCCACGGCCATTGTTCTCAATATAAACTTCACGTATTTCAATATTGAACCTTAGACATATAAGAGTTCCGAATCGAATTTCTTTAGAAAGAAGATTTTTTTGTCTCATGGTAGCCTGCTCCAGCCCCCTTACGAAACTTTCTTTATTGGGTTAGCCATACACTTCACATGTTTCTACAATTCACATGGCATCATCAAATGATACAAGTCTTGGATAAGAATCTACAACGCACTAGAACGCCCTTGTTGACGATCATTTACTCCGACAGCATCTAGGGTTCCTCGAACAATGTGATATCTCACACTAGATAAATCCTTAACCCTTCCCCCTCTTACTAAGACTACAAAATGTTCTTGTAAATTTTGGCCGATGCCGGGTATATAAGCAGTGATTTCAAATCCAGAGGTTAATCGTACTCTAGCAACTTTACGTAAGGCAGAGTTTGGTTTTTTTAGGGTGATAGTGGAAAAGTTGATAGATAAGTCACCCTTACTGCCACTCTACAGAACCGTACATGAGATTTTCACCTCATATGACTCCTCGTTCAATTCTTTCAAATTCATTAGATCCTTTTCCACGTTCGATAATCCCATCTCTTCTTCCACTCCGCCCCGACGAGTAACTAGGACCAATTGAGTCACGTTTTCATGTTTCAATTGAACACTGTCCATTTTTTATTATTCTCAAAGCAGAAGATTATTATCTTTACCAAACATATGCAGATCCAATCACGATCTTCTAATAAGAACAAAAGATCTTTCTTGATCAATCCCTTTGCCCCTCATTCTTCAAGAATAAGAAAGATCCCTTTCAAGTTTGAATTTGTTCATTTGGAATCTGGGTTCTTCTACTTCATATTTCTATTGATTTCATATTCATACTTTCACCTCTCTTTTTTATATCATTCCTTAAGCCCCATAGGTTTGATCCTGTAGAATTTGACCCATTTTCTCATTGAACGAAAGGTACGAAAAAAAAAAAAACCAGAAAAGTACTAAAAGTACTATGTGAAATCTTCGATTTTTCCCCTTCCTCTATACCATAGGTACAGTGTTTGAATCAATAGAGAACCTTTTCTTCTGTATGAATCGATATTCTTCCATTCCAATTCTTTCCCGATACCTCCCAAGGAAAATCTTGAATTTGGATCCCAAATTGACGGGTTAGTGTGAGCTTATCCATGCGGTTATGCACTCTTTGAATAGGAATCCATTTTCTGAAAGATCCTGGCTTTCGTACTTTGGTGGGTCTCCGAGATCCTTTCGATGACCTATGTTGAAGGGATATCTATCTAATTCGATCGATTGCGTAAAGCCCGCGGTAGCAACGGAACCGGGGAAATTATAAAGAAAAGACAGCTCTTTTCTATTCTATTAGATATTAGATTAGTATTCATTAGATTAGTATTAGTTAGTGATCCCGACTTAGTGAGTCCTTTCTTCCATGATGAATTGTTAGCACCAGTCCTACATTTTGTCTCTGTAGACCGAGGAGAAAGGGGGCTCGGCGGGAAGAGAAGTGTACCAGGAGAGCAGCAAGGAGGTCAACCTCTTTCAAATATACAACATGGATTCTGGCAATGTAGTTGGCCTCTCATGTCGATCCGAATGAATCATCCTTTCCACGGAAGTCAATCTTTGCTTGCTAGGCAAGATGATAGCAAGTTACAAATTCTGTCTCGGCGGGACATGTATTTCTATTACTATGAAATTCATAAATGAAGT